GGGAAGCATCTCACTGTTCTGCTGGGGATGGTGTTGTCCACACAGAAGTTTATATAGTCAGTCACACACTCAGCCATGGCATTTATGTCATCTCCATGTGGCTGGCAAAGAACAATCCAATCTGTAGCTTCAAAACATCCCTGTAGGGCTTCTTCAGCTTCYTGTGACYACTTTCTCACAGTCCTTGTAGTTACAGGTTGTCTCTGAACAAGTGGTTTATATTCTGAGCAGAGGTAAACAAGGTTATGATCTGAATTACCCAGAGGAGATGTTGTATTGGCGATATAAGAATCCTTAACATTTGTGTAAAACAAATCCAATGTCTTGTTTTCTCTGGTAGAGCAGCTGACAAACTGTTGAAATGTTGGCAGTGTAGCAGAGAGTGAGGCATGATTAAAATCACCAGATATTTTCACAAATGCATTGGGGTGTTGTGTCTGTGTCTTAGCAGCAACGGAACTGACAATATCACATGCRTTGTCAGCAACAGCTGAGGGTGGAATGTAAACAGCTACCAAAATAACACTGGTGAACTCTCTTGGTAAATAATATGGATGAAAGCTCACTGCCAAGAGTTCAATGTCTGGACTGCAGTGTTGAAACTTCACTGTAASGTCCTGAATGACACCATCTGTTGTTGACAAGCACTGCTAATCCACCTCCTTTCTTTTTCTCGCTGCTCTATAAATCTCTGTCTGCTCGTATAGTCTGGAAGCCTTGTAGAGAGATGTTGGCATCAGGGACATGATCCTGCAGCCATGTCTCAGTGAAACACATAATACTGCATTYYCTATACTCTTGCTGAGTCCTTGTCAGGGCTTGAAGTTCATCCAGTTTGTTAGCTAATGATCTCACGTTGCCCATTAGGATTGATGGAAGTGATGGTTTGAACTTCCTCCTTCTCTCTCGTCTCTTTGCTCCAGCTCTGCATAAACGATGCCTCCTTTTCAGCTCCTCTGGGATTTGCGGCTTCAGTTGATGTATTATTTCAGATTTTTCAATATTAATCAGCTGCTCCCTGTTGTAAACCACCCTTTTACTATGGTTACGCATCATAAAAAAGGCAAAGTATAAAAAAAGTATTGGCAAAAACCAATCCAGCTGCACAGCACCCAAAACACAAATGAACAGCTGTCCAAAAAAGTTAGTTTTTCCGCAGAAAGGCAGGAATGAACGCCTGAAAAGAAAAGAAAATCTCAATAAAAGTAACAGAGCTACTCCAACGTGCTGCCACCCTCAGCGGCGCAATTCCGGAACATAAAAAGTGATGAGAAGACAATTTTATTTTCTATTTAAACATAAAAACAGCATTTTAATAACTGCTGAAGGTGACATAGATACTTTATTATGGTATAGTATTTAAATATATGCCTGAGAAACACATAATATTGCCCCTTTCAAAAAGCTGAGTAGCTCTATCAAAGTTTATTTCACCGTATGTTTTTATAGTTTTGTTTACTTCCTCCCTGACAGATCGGAACAGAGTGGGACCCCAAAGAAAGGATCTTCCGTAACTTCGGCGGAATCATCGGCCCTCTGGACGAACCCCTGGCGGTCCAGAAGTGGGCCCGYGGTCCAAACCTCACCGCCACCATCGTGTGGATCGACCCGGCTCTGGTGGTGGCAGCATCTTACGACATCACCGTAGACATGGATGCAGACTACACGCAGTACAAGCCGCCTCTGCAGCACCCTCTGAGGCCCGGCTTGTGGACGGTGCGCGTGTTAAAACAGTGGAAGCGCATCGCTGAGGTTCGCTTCCTCGTCATTCCGCTAACTTTTAATAATAAGGAGCCGATACGCAAAGGTGAGGCACGCATCCATTTGGTCTCGACTTACATTTAGTTCACATGCAAACAAATATTATTTGCATTTCTATTGTGTATGTAACCATTCAAGTTGTCCTGATGCATCTCAGTAATCCAGGTATAAAAAAATCAAAAAGAAAAAATAAGTAGGTCTTCTGGATGGGTTCTTCTTTAGTGAAACGTTACGTCTCTCCTCCAAGAGACTTCTTCATTCTGATGAGTTTCAGGTAAACTCAGCTTTATAAGTCCTACCTCCACCTGGACAAACAGGTTAGTCATATGCAAAAGAGGGCCATCGACTAACAATAGGCTTGATCGACAGACGAAACGTTTCACTAAAGAAGAACCCATCCAGAGGACCTTTTTTTTTTTTTAACTATTCAAGTTTTTTTTCAGGTATTTATCCTGCTAATACCTGTTTTCAGAAGTAAAAATATTACAGTGGAGGACTCCTTTTAAAATGAAGCTAAGCAAACAAATAAAAGAGGAATATAAAGATATCCTATTGAAAGATTTGAATAATAAATGCCTGTAGGGTAAAAAGAACAATCTAATGTTGAAAACAAATAAATCGGCTAAAAAAACAAATGGAAATTAAAAAAAAAAAGAAACATCCCTGTTTAGTGAAGAATTAAGAAGGAAACATTGTGAACTATGCTGGACTGGTGTGTGTTTGACCTGAAGCAGATTATTAAAATTATTCTGCTTCATTGAAAAATCTGCAAAACAACCTCACTAATGCTTCCTTTTTGAAAACGACAACACATATAATTGATAAACTGTGTGTATCTGTTAAAGAAACTGAACTTAATGCATTTTTAGTTCAATTATTTGACCTTTTTTATATATAAAAAATAGTTAAAAAAAACTCATTACCAGTTTAGCTGTTTGTTGCTCAGTTTATGGTTTTAATTTTTATGGGAAAAATCAATGTATACTTGTCTTTTTTAATAATCTAGAATGCTTAGTAACGTGAGATAAATCTAAAATTGCTTAACCTTTTTTTATGTCTGCCAGATGAGGACAGCTGGCTCCATTCAGGCCCTCCAGGTAACTTGTACCTGGATCAGAGCTTCCAGCAGCTGAGCTCGGTCTTGAAGCTGCCTCCCCAGCAGCCAGCCCTGCAGGTGGCCCAGCATAACTCTCAGCTGGTGGGCCGGCCCCTCGAGGCGTGGCTGGACAGCCTCATGGGGACTTCCTGGGTTATAGGTGACCTGTGCACCACAAAGACCTCCTCTTGTCCAGCTTTGAGATCTTGCTCCAAGACCACCTGGAGCTCTTTGTCTCCTGACCCAAAGTCYGAACTTGGTCCAGTGAAAAGTGACGGACGGATCAGGTAGCCCGGAGAGAAGAGAGACTGCAAAAACTTGGACTGCACAGAAATCCTGCTGGAGAGCTGAAACCCACATCAGAGAATCTGTGTGAACTCTGAGGTCAGCAWTGAGGGAACATGAGCTTCCTTCACCAAGAAGTTGTTGTTAAAACAGACTTTTACTAATTTGACTGCTGAAATTTTGCACAAAGACAACTACAAGTGCAAACACTTGTATCATTTCTTGCCGAATGGGTACATGAACGCCAGATGTACTGCTTTGAGTTTAGCAGGTCTTCAGACACTCGGCTGCCATAGTTCAAGAAACTGCGCTCATCTGAACTCAGTTCTTGTTTTCCTGTTTTGAAAGGAACAAGAACAACAGACTCTGAGCTGTGCTCTTCTCTTCATGTCAAGGGAGAACAGAACCTCTGAATCKTATTATTGCGCTTATTTTAAAGCATTGGTATGCGAGCGTCCACAGCAGACAGGTGAAGTGCACTTTACTTTAAGATTATAATGTTATAGAGTTCACTCCCTCCATGTGTGAGGAGGAGGAGAATGTGAAAGGTGATGGAAAAGGTCTCTAAATCTTCATATAGCTGAAGGCAGATACCTACAGAGTCACCTGTTTTTGCACAGATACATCACAGATACGTTAACTCTAACTGAAGTTAGGGGGAAAATAGTTTTTTAATTATGGTCTTTTAAAAAATCTGTTTCTCATGACATATATTCAAACAAGTCATTTTTAAACATTTTTCATCAGTGCTTGGAGTCCGTGAGTCAGCGGATGAACACAGCAAGGATTTTTTTCACAGTTCCTTTAAAGCAGGTGCGTCTAATCCTGGTTGCTTTTCTGCATGTTTTGTTTTCTTGCTCCAACACACCTGACACATTGATCAAATTGCCTCTTCAAGTACTGCAGAACTATTTAGTTAAGTCTGCCGTGTTGGAGCCAAGTAACTTCTAAAGCAGGATTGAGCACCGCTAACAAACAACTGAGCTCTACATGGTYTTTCCTGCATAGAAACAGTGTTTTACCACATCCTCTTATAAACACTGAAAGTACTACGTGTACAACTATCTAAATGTGAAATAAATAATACAGAAATACTATTAAAGGTAAAAGCTTTACTCACTGTTGAKTTGTGAGTAGCTSCCGTCTTGAGTTCTGAGCTGTTGAGGTTATTCCCACTTTCCAATAGGGAATTCCCATTGGAGGGGTGTTCCAGTTTAAATTTATGACTTGTAAGTGGGAAATTTCCACCTACCAGAACAACTAGGCAGCAGCAAAAGTAGCCAGAGAAAATGCRACTAAATTCAAGTTTTAAATTTAGCCAGCTACTTTTGAACCCTGTGCACCTCCACCTAGTGGTGGGATGCCATCATTTCACAGTTAAAATGATCAACATGCATTATGGGAGATACTGTATAATTTATCATCAATGCTGGCTTTAAAGCAGCAAAYGTTTATTTTAAAACATWAATACATCTTTGAAGTTCCCACAGGCCACATAAAATGCTGTGGTGGGCCACATTCRGCCCGCAGGCCTAGATAGAATTTGACACCCGCTCTAAACATGCAACATAGTGTCCCTGGAGGACCAGGATTGGACACCCTTGGTTTAAAAGAATTTAACCTTCAAACAAAAGACGCACATCTCAACAAATATGTGACAAAATGTCAGAAYARTTAAATAAGTGGAGCCTGAGTTTAGATAATTTTGTACTTAATGTCAGAAAGACCCTGTCAAAGTGAAGTTTGTCACTTATTGTAACACTATAAGGTTTTGGTAAATATTTATTCAGGAGGTTTGTAGAGGGATAAGAAGGCTGACCTCTCTGCTGCTGGTCTGTTATGTTAGCTTATCAAAGGCAGGAAGAAAACAGGCTCAGTTCATTCTCAAGCATATCTAAACCTCCTTTGTTTGGTTAGTCTTTACAAAAACAGAGGTTCAGTGAGCTTTACACTTTRTTACAAGTACGTTTTGTGTTTTTAATAATTTTAGCTTCAAGTTCATTTCGTTTTACCACTGGTTACAGACGGAAACTGGTGTCTGGGKTTTTTTCAGCGAGACCGCAGTGTCTCAGAAAAGGTTAAGCCTTTGTGTTCAATGCAAGTCGTAAACCGTCGCACTTCCTGGTTATCCTTGTAAACACAGTGTGGTCATGCCCACGTGTGGTTCATGCGTACATTTCAGTTTTTATGGTRCATTTCTTTTTTTGAGTCCCCCCTCCCCCACCCACCAACCAAAATATGTAAACAGTGCACTATTTATTTTGTGTGTTTGGATTTTATCAGAAATGTCAAAATTTAAGCTGCCTTTAGGATCAGTTGTTTACTTTGTGCTAATAGAGTGACTCCCTGGTTTCTATTTTATTGTGATTTTTACTTAGCTYAGTGCAGACCTGTGTGTTCTTTACAAAATAGTTGGCCAACGAATGACTTTTTTAAGTGACCTTGTTTACCTTGTTCTGTACAGCTGCTTCAGTGAAGCCTGGGTTTTATTGATTAGAAAAGCAGAACGATGGATCTTAATAAATGGTATTTTTCTATCCTGTTTGAGAGAAATGATCTGTGTTCGTCAACACCCYGAACTGTAAAAACACTCGACAGTCCACCCATCTGAAGCAGTTCTTCTGGGCTGTGGGAGGTGAAGGTCTGTGCTGTTGTAGCAGCCGGGCTGGTGAGTCATCATCAGCTTTAATCTGTCGCTGAAGAGAAACTCGTCACAGAGACGTCCTGACGACTCATTTAATACAATAATATGAAGGTTTTGGTTGTGATACTCTGTGTTTTTAATCACATTTGTGGGGTTTTTTTTAGCCTGAACTGGAGGATTGGGGGCATGTTTTATGTATTTATGGGGAGGAAAGACTTTACAGGATGCTGAAAGCTTCCCTGTTGCTTCCTTAAAACAAGCTCAAAGTTTTCTTTATAAATACGTGAAGGAACATTTTCTCTCTCACGCACATTTACYAAGGTTTTCCTCCCAAGTAGTTTTCCTTCCTGGTCCTGGATTTAAACCAGTTCCCAGTAAAAGAAACGGCAGAGAATGGTGAACAGATGTGAACGCAGGGGATGAATTTTCCATAAAAGAGGAAGTCTGTGTTTCTGAGCAGAAATTTCAGACAAACAGGTTGTTGATTTGTGTGACCAAAGCAAACAAAACCCAACGTCATTCCTTATCCACAGTGTTCCTGATTTGAGCCACTACCCATAATTCATAGCAGAAGTTAGTTTTATATTTCCGCTTGCACTGTTGTTTACTTTTACAGGGATACACCATCGCTGTTTATTAAAKAATTTTTCGCTGAAGTTTGGCATAAATGGCAAAACATGGGAGGTGTATACACTAAGGATGTTTTAAAACGCAGCAAGGACAGTTCTTTAACAGTGTCTCACCTGTTACTGCTCACATACTGGGTAGATGACATGAAGCTATGTCCCGATGTTRGCTAAYAGCTACTWCTGACATACAAGGTTTCATACAGCTGCAGTCATTTTAAATAAATSATAAACAAAAACAAATAAACTGCCTCAAATAACTCTGATAGCATATTTTTTTATTAAAACAAACCGGGGACTTTTATAGCCCCTGGGGGCTAATCTAATTTTTTAATCTGCACAATTAAACTGTGAAAGTCTCCTTTAGGAATATTACTTGAGTAAATGTCAAAGTATCTGATATTTTTGTACTTAAGTATTAAAAGTAAAAGTATTAATTTAAAATTAGGTTTTCCTTAATGACATTTATTAGGAGGTGACCTCCCCAAAACTGCAGAAATTACATAATTATTATGTCTTGTTAAAATAATTTATGTTAAATTTAGGATGCACTAGTCCAGCTGTTTCAGTTTATAAGCGTATATCAAGGCTGCACAAACATTTTCTCCAAAATAAAACTCTATCTGAGGGCTGCAAGCCA